GAAGGTGGCAGATTAGCCTCCGAAAATCTTTCCCCTTTCAAAACCGAAGATCGCGTGTGATCATACGTGGAGTGGGGCGTGAGCAGATCCAGTGCGTCACCTCTCTTTTTTGCCCCTAATGAATATCAGCCACCAGATCAAGAGGAAGGGGGAAGCGAAAATCACAACCCCTCTAGGGGTTGTGACGCTATCTAATCCCCTTCTCCTTGTGTTTCTCCCATTTCAAGTATGGAGTATATTTCTTTCACTTGGGTGTTGTGAAACCCTAACTAGCTACCATGTAGTTTCTTTTATGTGAATTGAATGATTGTCATCGGGTATTGTTTAATTCAATGATTCAGTATTTGTCATGTTGATTGTGCATGCTTGTGCTTAGCAATATAAGGATTGTGCATGTTTTGTGCTTAGCATTCTTAGGTTTGTGCATGTTGGTGCTTATCAACCTAAGGATTGTGCATAATTGTGCTTAGCATCCTTAGGTTTGTGACTGTTGGTGCTTAGCCATCTAATTAGCCACTTTAACCTAGATTAGAGAGGAAAATCCCCCTTCCAAGGGAGACTCAATCAAGTTGGTTTTCCTTTAGCTTTTTAAGTCACCTAACTAGGTTAATTTAGGGCAAACCTCAATGCTGAATTAAGCAAATTGGTTAAGCGTGATTAAGCCGACCAACCCTTGAGTTGAGTGACGGAGTAAGTCAACCACCGATTGCCTAAACCGAGAGGGCCGAGTTACACGGCCTATAATGCATACCTCGATTTAGCTATCGAGAGTGTGGTCTATGACCATATTTGCATCCCTCTGCGGTTCACGGTTACCTTGCCCATAGCAATCGTTTCAATTCATATACCATGGTAGTAGTTAGGGGGAAGCGACACCCGAGAGATCCTTCTCACAATGAGCTTTCAAAACCATTTACCTTTGCCTTATTTTATTTTAATTAGCAAATTCTCCAACCAAAACTTAGTTGCTAGATAATGACTCAAATGACTGAAGTAGGGGTACACGGACGGGCCCGGGTTGATATTTAAACATACTTATCCTGTACTGCACCCGACTATGGTTTATACTTGGACCTTAGGTGGGAATTTATTGTGGTATTCGTGACGAGTCAAGTTCTTGCGCCGTTGCCGGGGAACAACGGTCTGTTATCTTGAAAAAGTTGTTTGGTCTTAATCTAGATTTTAATTTCCAGTTTTGAAAGTGTGTATGCTTTGCTTGTGCTAAACTTGGTGTGTTTTCCGATTGTGTGTAGGTGGTGGATGACGAGGACATAAACCAAACTTCCCGGCTCCTTGGAAAGGAGATAGAGCTAGCAGGGTGCAAAAGAGAAGAGGAAGCCCCGACTTCAATGGGATGCTTTATGGCCCCACTTGAAGCGAAGTTAGACAGTTGATCGAGGTAATGAACGAAGATAAGGGGCAAGGAAGTGGAGTAGTGACACCTATGGAGTGGGGTGCAAGTTGGGACCATGAGGAAGTAGAGTGCCACTGGATGACCCGCCTTCAGGAGGTGGTGATGACCTTTCTCGCCTCCAGCTCGAAAAAGTTTGAAAGAATCGACATATTCATTAGAGAGGCAACAGAGAAGTTCTCGGCCATCGAGGCGGGGTTGGAGAGCCAGGAAACCCACCTGATTAAACTGGCCACAAGCATAGGGGTTATCTGACAAGCGGCTCATTCTTGGAAGTCAGCCGAGGAAGTTTATGTAGGAGCGGTTACTCTTCAAAGTGGAAGAGAGGCCAAAAAGTTACCCCCAAAGAAGAAAAAACTCGGACAAAAGGAGCAACAAGTGGCCGGTAGCTTCCCCGCACAACCGGAAGCCACAAGTGAAGGGGGAGGCAACCTCAACTCTGTGACTCCTCAACCGCCACCTCAAAAAGAGGATGTCACTCCGACCCCTCAACCGGAGCAAGAAAAGGGAGAAGCAACCCCAACTCTCCCCTTTCCTTCGCGACTTCGCAATGACCGCATGTCAGCGGAGTTTGCCCACTTCATGGAGTTGATGAACCAGTTGCATTTAAACATCCCCCTTCCTGGAGGTCGTTACCCCAATGCCCAAGTACGCAAAATACTTGAAAGACCTCCCCACCAACAAGAAAAAGCTAGAAGGGTAGCTATAGTGAGCTTGAATGAGGAATGCTCTGCCCTCCTGCGGAACCACTTGCCTACGAAGCGCAAAGATCCAGGGAGTTTCACTATCCCTTGCTTTATTGGTGACGTGTGTATAGGAAAGTCCTTGGAAGATTTAAGAGCTAGCATTAATGTTATGCCCTATAAGTTGTTTCAAAAGCTAGACCTAGGAGAACTTAGAGCAATTAGGATGCACATTCAATTGGCAGATAGGTCTATAGTATGGCCTAAAGGTGTTGTCGAGGACATGCTCATTAAAGTGGGAACTCTCGTTTATCCTGTCGAATTTGTTATCTTAGACATTGATGAGAACGTTGAGGTCCCCCTCATCTTGGGTAGAACTTTTTTAGCCACTGCCAAGGCTTTGATTGATGAGCATGGGGGAAGGTTGGTGCTTAGGGTAGGAGAGGAGGAGGTTACATTCTCTATTGATGATAGTATGCGTTTGTCTCGTTGCCATGATGATTTTGATTACTGCGAAGAGGATTTTGACTTTAAGGAGTCACTTGCATCTGCGGGTGCCCCCCTCTTCTGAACTTTTTGAGGAGTGTTGTTTGGTAGGAACGGATGCCCGGACTCCCCGAAGACTTGAAACCAATCCCCACAAGATAAAGAACCCCCCCGAGTTGGAAATGAAACCACTGCCTCCTCACCTCGAATACATATTTTTCAGGGATGATGGGAAGCTCCCAGTCATCATCAACGCCAATCTTACACCAGAGCAGAATGATGTTGAATGATGCTCAAGAGATCTACACAACCACGGAGAAAGAGTTTGCAGTAATCTTCGCTTTCGATAAATTCAGGTCTTATTTGGTGCTTTCCAAGGTTGTTGTCTACACTGACCACTCCGCCATCCGCTTCTTGACGAGCAAGGCGAATGCCAAGCCCCGAATGATTCGTTGGATCCTGCTACTTAAAGAGTTCGATGTGGAGATCGAGGAAAAAAAGGGGCCAGAAAACCTTGCAGCTGACCACCTCTCGCGGCTCGAAGGACCGGGAGGTAGCACTTTCCCAAAAGAGATAAATGAACCTTTCCCTGATAAACAGTTACTCGCCCTCGCCATTGCAGAGATTATCGCCCCGTGGTTCGCCGACTTCACCAATTATCTAGTTGGAAGGCAGCTACGCAAAGGGATGACTACACATGAGAGGAACAAGTTCTTCTCCGACCTTCGTGGCTACTTTTGGGATGATCCCCACCTTTTCCGAAATTGGGACTGACGGAGTTATTCGAAGGTGTGTACCAGAGTAGGAAATAGAGGATATCTCGAACAACTGTCATATGGGGCCAGCTAGAGGCCACCACGGAGGCAACCGAACTTCAAAAAAGGTGCTCCAGTCGGGATTCTACTGGCCGAGCCTTTTCCGGGATGCCTACTGATAGACCATTGATTGCACATGTTTTTGCCCCTATTCTTAAGTCGTTTGAGATGTTGATTCTCATGTTTTAGGCCGTTTTCACGCTAGGTTGTTCTTGTTTGTGATATTTCAGGTTCTAGTACGTGAATGAAGGTTTAGGAATGAGTTCGGGGTCGATTGGAGGGAGATTGGACGTTTGGCGAGAAGCTGAGGAAGTCACACGGGCATGCCTAAAACCCACACGACCGTGTAAGGGAACCCATGTGGCCATGTGGAAATTCCAGATAACTCACACGGGCAGCCTGGAAATCCACACGTCCGTGTGGTTGTGGCCGTGTAGGATGGCTGAAGTCCACTTATCAAAACGCCGCGTTTTGACATCCACACGGGCAGTTTGGAAAGCCACACGGCCGTGTGGTCGGGAAATTCTGGGTTTTTAACCCAGTTTCAAGCCAAGGAAAGGGGGAGCTGGGTTTTGGATCCCAAACACCCAAGGGACGAACCAAAGAGAGAGAGGACGATTTGAGGGCATTCTTGGAGTGGAACTGGAGGATTTCTTCGCCTAGAAAGCTCGAGGAACAAGCCCGGACTTGAAGACTAATCATCTGCAGATTCTTACTGCACTATCTCTCTTCTCTATGGAGTAACTTCCCTTCACTTAGGTTTTGAGGAATCCTAGCTATGTTTGTTTGATTGGATGATTGTATGAGTACTCCTACTTGATAATCTTGAGTTCATATTAAATCTATGCATGTTTTTATGATTCATTTATGCTTTAGTCGAGATTATTGATTCTGCTTTGATCCTATGAGAGCGAATACCTGATTAGGTCAATAGAGCACCATAGATTGATAGTAGTGGATCGATTGCTTTAGTCGAGGGTTGATTCACTGCTTTTTATTGATTGAGAACCTCTGTCGATAGAGGGAGTCTAGTTCAGAACGGCTTGATCGGTTGTTCTAGAGAAGGATACGTCCCTCTAGGCAATTTTCTCAAGAGGACCTTGTTTCTTTAGTCGAGACTCAAGGTCTAGTCAAGGATTCTCCGCATTGTGAATGAAAGTGAAACAAGTTAGAAATCATCAATCATTAATCTGACTAGTGTCTAGGGGTAATCATACCTAAGTGAGTTCCCAACCTGTAATTAGATTAACTGTAAATGTAGTTTGCTAGAGTAGTTTTTGTTCTTACATCTTAATCTGGTTTGCTAGATAATGAACTAAAGCTGAGTAATAGTAACTCTAGAGACCCGTGGATTCGATATTTATTACTTGAGCCACTATACTGCAGTCCCTTCCATTGGTTACACTTGGCCATTGTTAGGAGTTGTGTCATAGCGAGTCAAGTTTGTTACTTTAGCGTTTTTCTTTTCTTTTCTTTTCTTTTCCACCCTTGCTTTTCACTTTGGTGTTTTTGTTTTTGTTGGTGCAGATCTGAATCATGGATCCTCATGGCTTCTCCAACCATTGGGGGTATCCACCACCATCCGAGTGGTATTACCCCGATACTCCCTGGAGCAATCAAGGAGGAGAAGACTATGGACTCGGGTTCCAGTACCAACCCCCTCACTACGGAGAACAATCAGACCTCTGGGCATATCAAGAACAACCTCATTACCAAGAAGACTTTGTCCCACAACCAGAAGGGCCATCGACGTTGGAGTAACCCATGGCGGCCTTCACGAGCCATTCTGCAGAACCATGCTACACTCCACAGCCAGATCCAAACTATGAATTGAGGCTTTTCATGGAGCAGTTTGCTCGGGATAGTGAGAGATCATGGTCTAGGATGGATCTTTGTACCCAGGCCTATCGTGAAAAAGAGGAGATCCTCCTGAGCATTAAGAATAGAGTCGATGATCTTGAGCGATCTTACGCACAACCTGCTCCAGATCACCCTTCTGCTACCATACTAGAAGAGGAGGTGGAAGAAGAAGGCTAGAAAGACATTGTGGAGCACACTAAAGTTGTCACGGAGAGCTCCCGTGATGATCATGATCAAGAATGTCCTGTCGTAGCCGACCACACCTTCCCACATCCCAAACTGAGCTTTGAAGAGGCGGGCCTGAGTGAGGAGATGCAAGAAGATCTCATGAAAGAAATTGCTTGGCAACTTGCTCTCCAATCCGTGCTAGAAAAAGAAGAGCGAGAAAGGGTGCAGAAAGAAGTCGTGGAGGATGGCGAAAGTGAAGTAGAAGGAGTTATTGATCATTTTCCAAGGGTGAATCCACATGAATAAGGAAGAGAGGTTGCAGAAGCAATTGGCGTCCAGGCCGGGGACGGAGTTGAGGTGGAAGAGGCGTGCACCGACCATGAGTTACATGTGATATCTCCACCAGACTTCGAGGAACTTCTTAGCAAAGACCCATTTGCAGTGTCTCTTTGCCAGACCACGACCACATTGACATTGGTCCCTCTTGGTGGACGCGATGGTGGTCAATCGATGTTGTCATATCTGGTTTAGGGCAATGAGACGTGAGAAGAGAATAATAGGTCTCGAGGGTGGATACGTTATCTGCATCAAGTGCACGAGCTTCCATCACCTGTCATACCACATGTTCATGACTTGAGACTCCACCTCATCGACGAGAACCTCAACTTCATGGAGGTTTTGGGGTGGACCGAAACTTAGGATCCATCGTCCGGCTCACGACGTGAAAGAAGCGCTTGTTGGGAGGGAACCCAACCAGTCGGTTTGCATTTCTTTCTCTATTTCCCCTCGGTTGAGTCAGTTTTGTTCTTTGATTTTAGAGTCAATAACTCAACCTTTGTGAGATTTTATGTGGTGTTTATGTTCCGACTACTCTCTCCTCCTGGAATGCACCGCCTGCCCCGTCCACCATCATTCACCCTTGATCTGGTAACTTCGTTCTACTCTCCTTATCTTTCCTTCATTGAGGACAATGTCGTGCTTAAGTGTGGAGGGATGTTCGATTATGTATGCGGGTGAATGTTTGGCTGTTTGTGTGCTTGGAGCCTAGTCCAGTGTCCAAATTTTAAAATTTGAGGGCTCCAAGTACTGTTCCCTGCAAAATCCTGCTCAGTATGCTTTGAATTGACAGTCTTTATGGTGATATGCAACCTAGGGAGGTAGTTGTAGCACTATGGAGGATGTTGAAGTATAAGATTTTTCCTATCTGTCTCTCTTCTGTGCCGGTTGATTTTGTGAACTAGTGGACTTAGGACCGTTGATTCATGTGGTATTGATGACTCCTCTTATGTTGTGTTGTGGGCTCGTGTATCGAAAAAGGGTGCTCAAGTGTGAAATGAAAAAGCAGTTGGTCCTCCATGTCAAAAATTTGAAATTCTAAGACATGGGGTAAGCCCAACGTGTGTGGCACCGTTCATTGCACAAAATCGGATTTTGGAAGAGATTTTAGTGATCCTTGGTGGGGTAGGCCTACAAGGTGAAGCTAATTTGTCTCTAGTACAAGTAAAATTCCCACCCGTTGAACGGTTGGCCGACTTGAGGATGTGTTTTTAAGGGCACAGATAGAGCTTCCGACCCCCCTTAATTTCATTGACCCTCCACACGAGTTGAGGAAAAGGAGTTAAAAGAAGTACTCTAGCGAGTGCCAGATGAACAGAAATTGCTCTTGCTCGACTAATAAGGGTCGACCGTGCAAAAGACTGCAGTTGGAACCCCCGTTAAGTGAAAAAAAAGTAAAATGAAAGTGAAAAGGGGTTCCAACGGTGAAATGAAGTGAAAGAGCACCCCGGTACAACGAGTACTTGGTTGTGAATGGTGTGAGTCCCTTTATCCATGAACTGGCTGTCTTACTTCTACTTCTTCTCATGATCCTGGTTTGAGTCAAGTACTCACATTGAGAGAGATAGAGGACGTCTTAGAAGACCAGTTGACCTCGTATGCTGCTTTATGATCTAGGAAATCCTCTACCGACGATCGGGGTTGTTTGTTGCTATAGAGGTCTGGAGAGTTGCATTGGTTTGAGTTAGGTTTGCTTGGGGACAAGCAAACAGTTAAGTGTGGGGGAGTTTGATAGACCATTGATTGCACATGTTTTTGCCCCTATTCTTGAGCCGTTTGAGATGTTGATTCTCGTGTTTTAGGCTGATTTCACGCTAGGTTGTTCTTGTTTGTGATATTTCAGGTCCTAGTACGTGAATGATGGTTTAGGAACGAGTTCGGGGACGATTGGAAGAGATCGGACGTTTGGAGAGAAGCTGAGAAGTCACACGGGCATGCCTAAAACCCACACGACTGTGTAAGGGAACCCATGTGGGCGTGTGGAAATTCCAGGGAACTCACACGGGCAGCTTGGAAATCCACAGGGCCGTGTGGTTGTGGCCGTGTAGGATGGCTGAAGTCCACTTATCGAAACGCCGCGTTTTGACATCCACACGGGTAGCTGGGAAAGCCACACGGCCGTGTGGTCGGGAAATTCTGGGTTTTTAACCCAGTTTCGAGCCAAAGGATAGGGGGAGATGGGTTTTGGATCCCAAACACCCAAGGGAAGAACCAAAGAGAGAGAGGAAGATTTGAGGGCATTCTTAGAGTGGAACTGGAGGATTTCTTTGCTTAGGAAGCTCGAGGAACAAGCCCGGACTTGAAGACTAGTCATCTGAAGATTCTTACTGCAGTCTCTCTCTTCTCTATGGAGTAACTTCCCTTCACTTAGGTTTTGAGGAACCCTAACTATGTTTGTTTGATTGGATGATTGTATGAGTACTCCTTCTTGATAATCTTGAGTTCATATTCAATCTATGCATGTTTTCATGATTCAATTATGCTTTAGTTGAGATTATTGATTCTGCTTTGATCCTATGAGAGCGAATACCTGATTAGGTCAATAGAGCATCATAGATTGATTGTAGTGGATCGATTGCTTTAGTCGAGGGTTGATTCACTGCTTTGTATCGATTGAGAACCTCTGTCGATAGAGGGAATCTAGTTCAGAATGCCTTGATGGGTTGTTCTAGAGAAGGATACGTCCAGCTAGGCAATTGACTCAAGAGGGCCTTGTTCCTTTAGTCGAGACTTAAGGTCTAGTCAAGGATTCTCCGCATTGTGAATGAAAGTGAAACAAGTTAGAAATCATCAATAATTAATCTGACTAGTGGCTAGGGGGAATCATACCTAAGTGAGTTCCCAACCTGTAATTAGATTAACTTTAACTGTAGTTTGCTAGAGTAGTTTTAGTTCTTACATCTTAATCTGTTTTGCTAGATAATGAATTGAAGCTGAGTAATAGTAACTCTAGAGACCCGTGGATTCGATATTTATTACTTGAGCCACTATACTGCAGTCCCTTCCATTGGTTACACTTGGCCATTATTAGGAGTTGTGCCATAGCGAGTCACCTACAAATTTGTGAGTCATTGTGAAAAATGCCAATGGACAAGTAATGCTTCTAACTGAAATGAGATGCCCCAAACGATTTCTATCACTTGGGAGATCTTTGATGTTTGGGGAATCGATTTTATGGGTCCTTTCCCCTCGTCTTTTCGTATCAAATACATTCTCATGGCCATATACTACATCTCGAAGTGGGTTGAGGTTCAAGCTCTCCCCACCAATGATGCAAGACGAGTGTGTGGATTTCTGAAAAAGTTGTTTTCATGGTTCAGGACCCCGAGGGCCATCGTTAACAACCGAGGAACCCATTTTCAAGGTAAATTCGACAAGCTCCTCGATCGCTACGGTGTCACCCACTGGGTGTCCATAGCCTATCACCCCCAAACTAGTGGAAAAGTAGAGCAATCAAATAGGGAGATGAAACGGATACTAGAAAAGACCGTGGATCAATCCTGCAAGGATTGGTCCGCAAAGCTCGATGATACTCTATAGGCGTACCGCACGACCTACAAAACCCCAATAGGCATCTCTCCTTACCATTTGGTGTATGGCAAAGCGTGCCACTTGCCCATAGATCTAGAGCATAAGACTTTTTGGGCCACAAAGCTTTTGAATATGGACCCTAGTTTGTGTGGAAATGAAAGGAAGTTGTAGGTGCTGGAACTTGAGGAGTGGCATCTCCAAGCCTATGAGAACACTAAGATTTACAAGGAAAGGACGAAGCGCTTGCACGATGCTCATCTAGAAGGAGGGATGGATTTTCAGCAGAGAGACCAGGTTCTCTTGTACAACTCCCGGCTGAAATTATTCACTGGAAAGCTAAGGTTGAAATGGTCGAGCCCGTATGTGGTAACACAAGTGTTCACATACGGGGTGGTTGATATCTCCCACCCAGAGGAAGGAACCTTCTAAGTGAATGGACACCGCCTGAAACGTTACCTTGGAGGAGAGGTAATGCTGCACAAGGAGGTGGTGTTCATGCAAAATGCATGACCCAGAGTCTCCGTCTAGCTTAAGACGTTAAAGAAGAGCTTGTTAGGAGGCAACCCAATGGAAGTTAGCAAGTTTGTCCTACTACTACTACTACTACTACTACTACTACTACTACTACTACTACTACTACTACTACTACTACTACTACTACTACTACTACTACTACTACTACTACTACTACGTTTTGGGTTATGTAATAACCTCACCTCGAGCGAGTCGTATTTTGTTTGTGTGTGTGTGTGTGTTTTTTTTGTCTCTCCTTGAAGCTCAAAATTTCCTACCCCGCATTTGATTCCAACTTTCACTCACCAAGCCCAAGAGGTAACATCATTCTACCCCTTTCTCACGCCATTAAGGCAATGTCGAGCTTAAGTGTCAAACATCAGGCTGCTCAATTCGTACGATATTGTCCGCTTTGGGCCAAGCCCACACGGTTTTACTCTTGGGTGTCCTCCCCAAAAGGCCTCGTACTAATTGGGCTAAGTGGACACTTATGTACAACGGTTCCTTCCCTTGTATTACTGATGTGGTACTTGGTTTGTACCCTAACAATCCTTCCCTCAAAACAAGGACCACGAACATCGTGTCCTCACCTTAGCGATTATCTTGATTTGCGATCCTCGCCAGACACATTGTATCGATGGGCTTCTCATTACAAGGATTTTTCTAGACATGGAACCCGCTTTGATCCACCAAACAGACGTGGATTTCTCCTAGATCCACCAAACAGCCCAGACGCAAAAACTCACTTTGATCTTCCAAACATACGAGGATCGCAAATCCCAAGGCCACCAAACTTGTTGTCCATCGCCCCGGATCTTCCGAACAAGGCTTTGATACCACTTGTCATAACCGGGCCGCTCAATTAGTACGATATTGTCCGTTTTGGGCCAAGCCCGCACGGTTTTACTCATGGGTTTCCTTCCCCAAAAGGCCTCGTACTAATTGGGCTAAGTGGACTGTTATATACAAGGGTCCCATCCCTTTTATTTCCGATGTGGTACTTGGATTGTCCATAACAATCCTCCCCTCAAGACAAGGACCACGAACTTCATGTCCTCACCTCGGCGATTATCTTGATATGCCAGACGCCATTTATCGATGGGCTTCTCGGTACAAGGACTTCACCAGACGCGGAGCTCTCTTTGATGTTCTTTTGCAAATGCGGAACTCTCTTTGATCCGCCAAAGCCCAA